TATCTGATGACGTTGTCGGGCCGACGGGGATAGGAAGTCCGTTGCCGATCGGACTCGGAGATAGATGGGGCCGGCGTGTCATCTCTGATGACGTTGTCGGGCCGACGGGGATCGGATGTCCGTTGCCGATCGGAGTGCGGCTGTTACCGAGGAAGCGTGATGCGGCGACGAGGCGGTGACGATGCGGGCGCGTTTGATGCGCTGATGCGTGCCCCGTCGGTGATGCGTTCTCTGATGTTAGCACGCGGCTAGGACTTGTAAACTGGCGCTAATGCGCCGACGACGTTTTGGAGGGTCGTACAAACGTGGAATAAATCGGAGAAAATGGGAATAAAATAGGAGGCCGGGGCTACGCCCACGACATTACCCCCCCCCTACAATCGAGACTCCTGGCGAGAAGATATAGCCTGTATTCTGCCTGTTTCCCACTCGAATTCTGCCGCTTTAGGATTGGTGGCTAGTGTTGAGCTGGGATCAGTGTGTTCGTAGATAGGCTTGAAGCAACTGTGGAGTTCGCTGAAGGAGGTGGTGGAGATCTGTCGTGGTGCCGAGGGATTTTGCTTGTGGAAGTCGCGTATGCGTTCCTTGGCATGTACGTCTTTGGCGGGAATCCATTCGTCGGCACCTTGTCCGTATCCTTTCCATCTGATAAGGTACTGGAGCTGTCTGCGATAGACGCGTGAGTCCAGAATCTTTTCGACTTCGTATTCTTCCTCGTTATTGACTACTACTGGTGGGGGAGGTGTAGGTTTGTTCATTCCATTGTCGTGATAAGGGCTTAGCCTGTCGACATGGAAGACGGGGTGAACCTTGAGCCAGTTAGGTAGTTCGAGGCGATAGTTGAGTTCTCCGATAACTTCGGTGATTGTAAACGGTCCTAGCTGTCTGGGTCCGAGTTTACGGGTTTGCTGGTGGATCGAGACATCTTTCGAAGATAACCAGACTTTGTCTCCGACTTTGAAAGAGTGAGGCGATCTTTTACGAGCTTCGTAGTCGGCCTTCATCTTTTCTTTAGTCTGGCGGAGAGCGGCTTCTGCTTCTTTACGGATTTTGGCCATGCTGTCTAGCCTGTCGTTCAGTGCGGGGATATTGGAATGTTTCCCTGCTGGGACAGTGAAGTCGGGTCTATATCCGTAGAGTACTTCGAAGGGAGAGTGTTCGTTTCCAGCGTGTACTTGTGAGTTGAGTACAAACTCTGCCATTGGGAGCCATTCATCCCAGTCGTCTTGGCGTTGTGAACAGAATAGCCGGAGGAATTTAGATACCTCGGCGTTCTTTCGTTCGACTTTGCCATTTCCTTCTGGATGGTAGGCTGTAGTTAAACCCGACTCTATACCGAGTCGTTTGTATAAACTTCGCATGAAGCGGGCTGCGTATTGTGGTCCGCGGTCAGAGAAGATCTTGCGTGGAAGACCGTGGTGTCTGAATACTTCGCGAAAGTGTATCTCAGATGCTCCTTCCGCCGTGAGGGTAGTGCGGCATGGAGCGAGATGTACTTGGTCGCTGTAGTGGTCGACGTAGACGGTGACTGCGTCGTACTTCCCTGGGGATTTTGTTTGAGGAAGGGGGCCAACCATATCGACTCCGACGTGTTGCCAAGGCCCGTCAGGGACTTCTTGTGGCTTGAGAGTTGATTTAGGGTGTTTGGCTCCTTTGTATCTCTGACATTTATCGCAGCCCGCCACGTATCGTGCTATGGCGGAGTTCATTCCTGGCCACCAGTAATAGCGGGAGACTAATTCGATTGTCCCGTGCTTTCCTGGATGTCCAGCTGTGGGAGTGTCATGACAGGACTCGATGATCTTGTTACGAAGGGTGACGTCGTTTGGTATGTAGAGCTTGCCCTTGTAATAGATGAGTCCTTCGTTTTCTTCCCATTCAGTTAACCCGTTGACTAGTTTGCGGGGCCCTTTTTCTCGGAGACTGGAGAGTGCGGTGGAGACCTCGTCGTCTAGTGAGGTTACGTCGCGAACTTCTTTCTCCAGTGGCGAGCTTGTGACGAAGGCTGTGGCAGCTAGTCGTGCGAAGTGCGCCGGTCCTAGTTCCGGACTTTGTGTAGCATTAACAAATCTGTTGTCGGGCAGGACCACTTGCATCTGGTTATCCATGTCGTCAGATATGTACTGAGAGCTGGGACGTGAGAGCGGGTCTGCGACGAGATGTGTTTTGCCTGGCTTATGAGTCAACACGAAGTCGTAGTCGGCTAGTTCAAGAGCCCATCGAGCTTGTCGTCGTGTAAGTCGTTGTGCCGTACGCCAGTATTGGAGGTTAGCGTGGTCAGTCCAGATTTCGAACGGCTTGGGTAGTCCTTCTAGGAAGTGGCGCCAATCTCTTAGGGCTTCAATTATGGCCATAAGTTCACGATCGTAGATTTCGTAGTTGCGTTCTGCAGCGTTCATGGTCTGTGATCGGAAGGCGATTGGATGCCATAGAGTGTCGTTCGGATCTAGTTGACTGATTTCTCCTCCGGTGGCGTAGCCAGAAGCATCGACTTGGACGCGTGTATCTCGATCGGCGTGCCATAGAGCGAGGACTGGTTCGGTAGTAAACTTGGACTTCAATGTATCGAAAGCCTGTTGCTGTGCCGAACCCCACATGAAAGGAACGTCTTTCTTTGTGAGGTCGTGCAGTGGGCGGGCTATCTTAGAGAAGTCCTGTATAAACCGGCGGTAGAAGTTGGCGAACCCGACGAAACCTCTAACATCTTTCAGGTTCGCAGGTGTGGGCCATTCTGTAACCGCTTTCACTTTTCCTGGGTCCATGCTGACAGATCCTTCGCTGATGAGTAGGCCGAGGTATTCGATTTGGTCTTTCTCGAATTCACACTTCTCTGGACGCAGATAGAGGTCGTATTCTTTGAGACGCTCTAGTACTTCGTGTACGATTTTTCGGTGTGAGGCGAGGTCTGAAGACCAAATGAGAATGTCGTCTAAGTATACTGCGACTTTTCCTTCGGCGATGAGATCTGCGAAGATCGTGTCCATAAGAGCCTGGAAGGTAGCTGGTGCGTTGGTCAATCCGAAGTACATGACCCGAGGTTCGAAGAGTCCCCGATTGGTGACGAAGGCGGCTTTCCACTCATCTCCGGCTTTAATCCTGACGTTGGTGTACCCCCAACGGACGTCGAATTTAGAGAAGATCCTTGCGCCTTGGAGCTTGTTGATAATATCATTAGCTAAGGGCAGTGGGTATCTATTCTGGATAGTGGCGTCGTTGAGTTTGCGATAGTCTTGGATAAGCCTTAGCTTGCCATCCTTTTTCTTGATAAAGAAGACGGGCGAAGCAATAGGTGATTTGCTGGGGATGATGTAACCTTTCTTGATTGCGTCATCGAGGAAGGCTTGTAACTCCTGATTTTCTGCTGGGCTCATCGGGTAGACTTTAGATCGGATCGTTGAAGGAGCGTCTGATTTCAGGTCGATGGCGTGATCCCAGGCTCTATGTTCAGGTAGCCTCGTAGAGTCTGTTTCAGAGAAGACATGGGCATGTCGATGGTATTCTTTGGGGACGAGTTGCTCGAAGGTTTTCGAGTATTTCTCCTTATTCTGTTCGACTGCTACTTTCTGAGAGTAGGTGTAGCCTGCTAAGCAATAAACTTCGTCTGTGGCGTTATCGAGTATACCGGCCTTCACCCAGGCCCGGCGTTCAGCTCGATTAGCTTCGACTTTAGTTAAACTTGGTGACGCAGGTAAATCAGGCGATGCTTCTGAGCTGTCAGGAAGCGTCATTTCGCCTGTTTCCCAGTCTATAGTGGGGTTGACTTTCTTTAACCACGGTAGTCCGAGGATGATGTTCTCGGGACCGATATCCGTGATAAAAAAGTCATACTCTTCGGGAGCTCTCGATCCGATTTTGACTTTGAGTTTGGCGTAGTGTGTGATTGCACCAGCGCTGTTAGTCGATCCGTCAATATTTCGGAGACCTATCTGTCGTTTGAGTGGTCGTTTGTAGATGTTGTTTTCTCGTGCGAATTTCTCATGTAGGAAGTAACCGGTGGCACCGGAATCGATCATAGCAGGTGTGCGCAGAGATTTATTTACTCCTGATATTGTTACAAATACGCGAAAGTGAGACGAGAGATGATCTATTGACGATACAGTGCATGACGAGATATGGTCCGAAGGATCAGAGTCCGAATGTACAAGAGCCGGCGCTGTTGAAGGCCGCTCATCTAAACCGGGCACCAGAGCTGCAGCTCTAGTCTGGGCCCTTGTTAAAAACCCTGGCTGAGCTTTGCCATCAATTCAGCCTGTTGCTTCTGCATCAAGACCATCATGTCTTTGAGACTAGCTACGTCGGCAGCTGAGTCTTGAGACGTAGAGATGGAAGCCGACGTCGAGGGGCTTGTCGACGATGAGGCTCGGACTGATTGCGACTTTGGTGGTTGTCCGTTTAGTCTTGACAGGCAGAGCTTTTTCCAATGACCGGGTTTACCACAGTGTTGGGCATTTGGTGTCCTCG